ATACTGTAGCGAACCATGAATCATGATTCAAATAAGGGAACGAATCCCTCTACCAAACAGACCCTTAGTTTAAAAGGTTTTTTTTTGTTATTTTCAGTCATTTATCATATTGCCTAACACCAATTACATCGAAGTTCTTCTGGAATCACAAATTAGAATATATCACCCGCCTAAAGGTGGTGAACTTCCATGCTGAATGGTATCGGGTGCCGAATGGAATGCCTTCTTAGTTCTTGGCAAATTGTGCGGCCCTTTTCCCATTTGGAAAGTTTTTTGACTTGGTCATTATCATGAAGTGTGACATGTTCTTCATCGGGGCTCAAAAAATTTTAAGCAAAAAGAACCAAAGCGACGAAAAGTAAAGATTATGGGCAAAAAATAGGTTAAAAATGGACCAATATGAATAAATAAATAAACAATGTAAATCTGACTGTAAATTCTCGAAAACACGAAAAAGCTATGATAAAAATATCGAATTCGCGAGTATAAAACTCACTTATCACCAACCTCAAGTGTTTAGACAAGAAAAAAAGAAAAAAAAGGACTTTTGTTATTCAATGACATTATGACATCTTATTATCACCTTTTACTAAATACGTGTGCATTTTCCAAGGGCTAAAGAAACGTTTTCATCTGTTTCTCCTTTTTTTTTTTTTTTTGCTTTCTACTTTCCCTTTTCTAATTTTTTATTTTTCCTTTTGTTTTTTTTTATCTTCCCACATTTTTTATCTGCATCTTCTATTTTTATTTCTCCTTGCCTTTTTTTTTCCTCCTCTTATCTATCTATGTCTATACCATTCTCCTTTAAGAGAATGTTTTTTTTTCCTTTTTTAGAAGGTGCGATAAAGAAACGTTTTTCTTTTTTAACTTTCTTTCCCCCTTTTCTTTTTTTCCCTCCATTTTTTTCCTCTATAATATAATATATATTTCTTTTTTCCCTTCTCAAATGTGACTCTTATAAATACTTTTTTTCTCTAATTATCCCATTAAAATAATTTCTTCTCATATATATTATAATATTTTTTTTTGTAAAATGACCCTCTCAAATACTCTTTTTTACTATATATACCCAATAAATAGTTTTTAATATCTTGTTCTCAAATGTGACTTTATGGAAACATTTTATCTGAATTTTTTTAAATAAATTTCTTTCATATATACCACTAAATAATTTTTACCTAATTCATCCCATTAAAAAAAAATTCCTTATAATGTTGCTTTATTTAATATTTTTCTACTGGTTTTAATTTTTAAGAAAACAATAATAAAAACTTAAACTATAAGATTTTCAAAAAAAAATTGGACCTCTTTTTTTTTCAAAAAAAAAAAGAAAAATGTATAATAGCGCGTGTTTCAACTAATCATATTAATAAAGCTCTTCCCAAAATTTACAAAACGGTTTTTCTTTTTGTCTCTGTCTTTGTTCCCTTTTTTTTTTAAACTTTTGTCCTTATTTTTTCCCTTTTTTCCATCTTTATGTCTCTATTATTTCCATTAAATATTATTTTCTCTCTAATTTCCCATTGAAATATTTTTTTCTTATACCCAATAAATGATCTTAAATATCATGTTCTCAAATGTGTCTTTACTAAAACATTTTATCTGCAATTTTTTCAAATAATTTTTTTGATATGTACTACTAAATAATTTTTTATCTAATCCACCCCATTAAAATAATTTTCCTTTTAATGTTGCTCTATTTAATATTTTTCTACTGAATTTAATTTTTAAGAAAACAATAAATTTTCCAAAAAAAAAAAATTGGAGCTCCATATATATATATATATATATATATATAAAGATGTTGAAAACTCCGCGAGCGTTTGAACTAGTCATGTTAGTAAAGCTCAATGGGTTGCTTCCCAAAATTTGCAAAATGTTTTTTTTTTTTTTTTTTTATGTGTCTTTGTTTTTTTTCGTTTTTTCTTACTATTTCCCTTTTTTTCCTTCTTTCTGACTCCCTTTCTTCATTAACTGTATTTTTTTCTCTAATTGCTCATTAAAATAATTTTTGCTCGTACATGTCCATGTTTAAATTTTTTTTTTAAACCCTCTTCCTCCAGCTAATGAAACATCTCGTCTCATGCCTTTTTTTGTTTTCCTTTTCTTGTGCGCCCTTTTTTTATTTACCTATTCTGGTCCTGTATTTTTGTTTCTTCTCACTTTTTTACTCTTTTTTTTTTGTTATTTCCGAGTAATATTACATAAAAAAGTATTTACAAATAGATAATGCTATTAATTTTTTATACAAAATCCAGCTTACATACATGCGCGGTTTAAACTAGTACAAACAAAGGAAACTATCACATAAGACAACCATTTGCCTATTTGTTTGTGTTGTCCTGATCTCAGAGTGGTATTAAGCAGTAATATAGTAGTATGCAACATCGTTCTTATTCTTAACATGAGATTTTTTTGCATTGTCTTCCTCTTCTTTTTTCACCCCTATAATAATAAGCTCTTATCGCCCTCGTAACTACAATTGCATGCAATGTACTTGTCTATATTTCCGTCTTTTAGTAAAAAAGAAAAAAAAAACCGAGAAAAGTAAATAACAAGTTCAATAATTTTTCTTAGCCAAAAAAATTATCTATTTTTGTTTATGTTTTACCTCGGGTTCAATCCTAATAAAGTGAGAAAACAAAAATGCTTCCATTGCAAAGTTAAGACTACTACTTTTTTTTTCGTCCATGCTTTTTTTTTTTTCTTTTTTGTTGCGGTGGCACGTACGTCCCAAAATTTGCAAGGTAGAAAAAAAAGCAAAAAAAAAAAAAAAAAAAAATACAAGGTAGCCCAATCACGACGTTTTCTATCTTATGCAAAACTTTGTGAGCAAGCAAATTTTAATTACTATACCAAAAAGTTCATAGAACCTGAGGCAATCGCTTTTTGTGACTGCCACACTAATATTCCCTTTGCCCAATTTTTGAGCAAATCATATTATTCCACAAACCAAAATGAAGTTTTTCTAGCCAAAATAATAAAAAAAAGGAAGTGTTTTTCTACGGTCGGAATCATACTGATAGTATATGTTTTTAACTGTTATATCAAATTAAAGTCACATAAAAATAAACAAAATATATAAAACATATAGATTTTTATATAAATTTAACGGGTAAAAACGCCAATCCAATCCATAGTTTATTTTTCCTTATCATCTTTAAAAAAAAAAAAAAAAAAAAAAAACCCAAAATGGACTTTTCCTTTTTATTTTTTTTTTTTTTTTTTAATGTAAGACGGTTGTAAAAGGACAAATACCGAGTGGAAGCAGCGCCCTTTTGCTGCCTTGGGTAAGGAGAAAAAGAATCTCTTTAGTAATTAGCCTCTTTGTCCTCATCATCACCTTTCGATCAGAAAATTGGAATCTCACTTTGGCCCTATCAGATTTCTTGTGTCGTCTACTCTTACAAACGTTTTTCCCTTTACAAAAACAGTTGGATAGACCCACTCTCTTTAAACCGTCGTGTGCATCACAAGAAAACAGTTTGGTTAAGGCTGTGTTTGGTTTCTCCTAATTAAAGCCTAAAATTGTGTTTGTTGGGTTGATGCAATTGCACGTGGTTGTGCCAATTTATTTTTTCAATTAGTGTTAATATTGATTCATTGAACTCCCAAATTCAAGAAAACCAACCACATCTAAATGCAATGGAAATTTTTTTTATATCAAGTATAATGGAAATAATAGTTTATTTAAAGCTTTTAAAGCCATCTTGAGAATTTGTTAGAGTAGGGTGCTATCTTTTTAGTATGTCCCATTCAATCTTCTTCTTTTTTGTTTTGTTTTGTTTTGTTTTTTATTTTTTAATTTTTCCCACATCCAAATTTTCTTCCTCTCAACCATACTAACCTAAAACTCAAAGAAAAGTCAAAAAAAGTTAAACTTGCTACACCAAGATACAAACTTATAATAACCTGCTCCATGCCCTTTTGAAAAGAATGAAAACTGGCTTCTGTTGGAGTGAAAATGATAGTTCTCGAGTACAATACTAAACGTTTATTATAAAGTGCTCCTTTTGGTTTATCAAAAGAAAATTTGGAGGATATTTTTGTAGGTTTTGAAAAAATTCCAACAGGTAGAGTACAGTTTTCAACCTTGAGATTTATATCAAATTCTGTTTATTATCATACTTTGTATTCAGTATTATGGTTAAAAATTGTTTCTTATTGGTAGAATAAGAATTTTCCTAGAAATACTCCTTTTCAATTAGATAATTCATGCGACAGAAATTGTCCTTTTCATTATCCTGTGATATTGTTTTAGTGTTGTAATAGAACCAGTAATAATCAGAGGGTTGAAAAATTAACCAAACAGTTAAAATAACAGTTAATACTGTAAAATTTATTTCAAAATATGTGCGTATTTGTTTGACGTCCACTAGAACCACTCCTTGTCAATGTACTTGAAACATAAAAAGGAAACGGACTAGCAGCCATTTATACCAAAATTAACAGCCATTTATAACAAGACGTTTTCCAAGACACACACATACAACTTGCTACATCCAAACACAAACTTAATTCCCCCATCAGTGCGTTTCTTCTCCATCATCATCGTTGAATTTGAAGGGTCCTCATCATTTCTCATCTCTCAACACTAGCTTAAACATGAAAACAAAACAAACAAAAAGTGGGACCCACAAAAAGAGTACTCTCTCTCTCTCTCTCTCTCTCTCTCTCTCTCTCTCTCTCTCTCTCTCTCTCTCTCTCTCTCTCTCTCTCTCTCTCTCTCTCTCTCTCTCTCTCTCTCTCTCTCTCTCTCTCTCTTCATGGAATTCAGTCTTTTGCACTTCTTATTATAACGACACTTTTGCCTTTGCAAAACCCATGTGATCTTAACTGACACTTCTTCTTCTTCTTCTTCTCATAAACGATCTCAAGCCTTGTCGGCGCTCACACGCAGTCCAATCCCACTCTTCTCTTCCCCGTGACACTCCCACTTTTTTCCTTTTATATAACAAAAACTCTCACAACCCAAAATAATCACAATTTCAAAACTAAAACATCCACAAACACAAAATGATTACTCCTTCTTTCCCTCGTTTCCTCATAATTCTCGTCCTCTTCTTCGCCCCGAGTCTGGCATTGGACGTTTCCAAGCCAGACTACGGCGACGCGCTGTCGAAGGCGATCCTGTTTTTCGAGGGGCAGCGGTCGGGGGTTCTGCCGCAGTACCAGCGCTTGACGTGGCGGGAGAATTCGGGCCTGAGTGATGGGTGGACCTACAACGTGGACCTCACTGGCGGCTACTACGACGCGGGGGACAACATCAAGTTTGGATTCCCGATGGCATTCACCACCACAATGCTGGCGTGGAGCGTCATCGAGTTCGCCGACTCCATGCCCCCCGCCGAGCTCCGCAATGCGCTCGTCGCCGTCCGCTGGGCCACCGACTACCTGCTCAAGACCGTCTCCCAGCTCCCCAACCGCATTTTCGTGCAGGTTCGTACCTAAATGTTAGAAACGCCAACTCTATTTTCATCTTTTGTTTTTTTTACTAACTTGTGTGTCAAGTAATAGTTGTCATTTTCTTATTGATAAAACTATATATTACCAATGAAAATGCAACACTTTACTGTGACATTATAAATTGTTACTACGATCATACAATAAATGTGTATATTATTGTATGATCTTGTGGGTGAGATATGTTCATGGATTTAGTTGAAATAATCCGTGAATGAGTGTAAAGTCAAGTTTTGGATGTCATAGTTTGTAGATCAGAGCCTGTCCTAAAAATATAAAAGTATTTTATTACAATAATCTTACAATAAAAGACAATCAATCAGTTCCAAATTTTTAAAAGAGACCTATGGAATTATATGGGCCTTTATTCCTATTTTTACTCCTGTATTGGGAATCACAATAGGTGTACTAGTAATTGTATGGTTAGAAAGAGAAATATCCGCAGGGATACAACAACGTATTGGACCTGAATACGCCGGACCTTTGGGAGTTCTTCAAGCTTTAGCAGATGGGGCAAAGCTACTTTTCAAAGAAAATCTTTTTCCATCTAGAGGAGAGAGCCATGGAAGTTAGAAATGTGGCTCTATATATGGACGTGTGTAAGAAGAGTCCACTGAGTTGTCGGGTAATTCACCTCTTTTTCTGTTTTTGGCCCCCACAAACTCTATCTGGAAGATCAAGGGTTTGTTTGTTGTTCTCTCCTTTTTTTTCCTAATATATATATATATATATATATAATTTAATTGGGGTTTTTTTTTGGCAACTGAAATCTTATATTTAATAGAGCAATTGGCGGTGCATGCATTGGTTTTAGCCTTCAAAGTTCTGGTTTTGTTGTTTTTAACCTCAAACACGAAATTAACCGATCATTAATCCACTTATTGCCCTTTCGTTTCCAATACGTCTAATAGAAAGTTCCAAAGTTTGAGTTTTCCTAGTCATTGTGGCATAATTGTAATCTCATTAAACTACAACTCCCATGTACTGAATTAATAAAAGGTACACATTCTATACGACCTTGTACGTACGGTGATCATTAATCCACTCATATAATGTTGTTTATAACTTGTAAACACGATACAAAGTTAGGCCCCTAACAAAAATAGTTTAGGGGACTAAAGAATAACAAGCGGTAGATGAGTTGAAAATCTTTATAATGTTGCTTATGGGGTTTGTTTTTGCAACTTTTATGAGAACATAGTTTTATAACAATTTCCCAATTCCCTAAAGATAATTAAAAAAAGAAAAAAGAAAAAAGGATAATACTATTAAGTAGACGTATTGTCTCCCTTTTGTACGCTAATCACTGTGTATGGTGGACCATGTCGCTTTGCACCTTAAAGTCCGTGATCAGTTCTCATGGACCATAGGTTGTCCTTGTCCTATATATGGCTTTCTATTCCTTTCACTGGGACACCTTAAAAAGACATAAATCTCCTACCAGTGTCCTAAGTGGGAAACAAATTTCAAAGGGTATTAAAGACAATATCCACTCAAATTGTTCATTTTGCATGACTAGTCTAGTTTCATGTCTACTCAGGTTGGAGACCCAATCATAGACCACAATTGCTGGGAGAGACCGGAAGATATGGACACGGCACGGACAGTGTACGCCGTTGATGCTCCGAATCCGGCATCCGATGTCGCTGGTGAGACCGCCGCGGCTCTGGCAGCTTCATCCATGGCGTTCCGGTCCTATGATCCCGGATACTGGAATGCCGTGAAGGCTTTTGAGTTTGCTGACTCTAATAGGGGAGCTTACAGCGACAATTCAAATATTAGGGATGGTGTCTGTCCATTTTATTGTGATTTTGATGGCTACCAGGCAAGTCCATATCAAATTTACCCCATTTTTTACAGCATAATTGTCACTATTAGTAATGATCAAAACTAAAATTATGACTGTCCTTACAACCTGACGGTAGTACTAGACTTCAAATTCCCTACTCTAAATTAAAAAAATAAATAATAATAAATTATGACCATAATATATTTAGTACTGTGTTATAATGCAACAATCTCATTAGTGGGACTATGTATGTTCCAAATAATTAGATGATTGTGTTGGTGTGTTATGATATGATCCATAAAATTACGTGGTAGTAATAGCACGCATCTACATGTATAATAATTTTATTAGTAACAATGACATTTAGAAGAATAAGAGGACAAATATGGAGAACCAATAAATTTTTGTGGCAAGGGACAAAAAATGCCCCACCATATGTGAGAGTTTTTTATTAGCTTTTTACTGTAGTAAAACTCAAATCGGTGAAATGTTTAAAATATTAATTATTTATCATAAGAGTGTGAAATTGTTTGTTGACGTGTACAATTGTGAAATGTAAATAATTGTCAGGATGAGTTGTTGTGGGGGGCAGCATGGCTAAGGAGGGCTACTCAAGATGGTCAATTCTTGGATTACATACAATATAATGGAAAAACTCTTGGTGCCGAGGATAATATCAATGAGTTTGGGTGGGACAACAAGCATGCCGGACTAAATGTCCTAGTCTCTAAGGTTAGCCTACTTATTAATTTATTTCTTTATTTTGTAACTTTCGGGCAAACACATGTGTATGGTCTTTCTTTCCTCCTTTTTTTTTATGGTCTTTCATCATTGTTGAAGTTCTTTTCATATTTTTATCCGATATTTCCCCCTTTCATTTGTTTTGAGGAAATTTTCATTCAATATTTTTCTTTTGAACTATTGGGTGGGTGTAAAATTACCACTAGATTAAGTTTGTATGTAACCAATTTTTAATACCTAGAAGAACTACATTAGTAGAGCTAAAAAATGGCACCCAAAAAAAGGAACAAGTATCTTCTTCAATGCTAATAAAAAAAAAAAATACTAATCTTGAAACGAGGGAATCAAACCTCCTTATTCCAAAAAAAAAAAAAAAGCGCGTTTTTTTCAAATCAATTAAAGAATATGTATTGATGCACACAAATTTGCATTTGATCCTTGTTTAGGAAGTGATAGAAGGCAACATGTACAATTTACAATCCTACAAGGCCTCAGCAGACAGTTTCATGTGCACATTAGTCCCGGAGTCATCATCCTCCCACATAGAATATACACCCGGAGGCCTCATTTACAAGCCCGGAGGCAGCAATTTGCAACACTCCACTACAATTACATTCCTCATGCTTGTCTACGCCAACTATTTAGCTAAAACATCACAAACACTAAACTGTGGCAACATAAATGTTAGCCCAAGTTGGCTAAGACAACAAGCCAAAAAGCAGGTTGATTACATCTTGGGCAACAATCCAACGGGCATGTCTTATATGGTAGGGTATGGGGACCGGTACCCTCAACGTATCCACCACCGCGGATCATCCTTGCCCTCGGTAAAGGACCACCCCCAACCGATTGCTTGCAAGGAGGGCTCGGTATACTTCAATTCTTCATATCCAAACCCTAATGTGCTTGTTGGAGCAGTCGTGGGAGGGCCTGGAGAGGACGACATATATACGGACGACCGTGCTGATTTTAGGAAGTCCGAGCCCACGACGTACATCAACGCACCATTTGTTGGGGTACTAGCATATTTTGTTGCTAATCCAAACCCCTAATTTTGGCACAATATATCGGCGATGATGTTAAAGTATACAGCTCATTTTTGTACATAGTGCAAAATGCAATAACTTCATACTTGAAGATAGGGAACTATATAGTTAATGTCTCTCATCTTGGTTGGAGACAAGAGGGAAGAGGCTTTTTAAATGTTAATTGTTGAACCAATTCGTTTATACATTTTTAAGTCACAAAAACTTTGTGACTTTTTACATATGAGAATTGTTCCATCCGGGACGAGACAACTCTTTGGCACTGAGTAGTCCATGTTTTTCTCTGTATGAGGTGAAAAAAAAAAATAGACAGAAAGAATAATTGTAAGCTTTCAAGACATAAATTTATGATGATGTTTTGTATTTATCCAATCCCACTCTGCTTTACCAAATACTTCTTTTTTTCTTTTTCTTTTTTGAGATTTTGAGAGAATCCAATACTAATTGTTTTTTAATTAATCACAAAAAAGACAAAAAAAAATTGGAGTGCAGATAAATGAAAAGATTCACTAGGCAAAAATGTCCTATTATTTTACCAAGATTAGACATTCACCGTCTATTTGTAATTATATTTAATTATTAGAACTGAGGTTTCTTTGATATAATCATGGGCTTTGATCTATCTCCACTTTTACATGCAAGCTCGTGTACATCTCGTGAAATCACGGGTTTTGTCCTCTTCTAAAGAGAATTATTCCTCTTCTAAAGAGAATTAATCCTCTTGAACTTTGTTTCATAACTTTGTTTGTTTCTTAATTATTATAAGGAGTTATATTGGATCTATTTTGTCAGAATATATATATATATATATATGTATATTTTTTGATGGATCGTGATCTCACCTCTAGGAGAATTTAATTGATTAAACAAAGATAAAGTTCTCAATTGGATTGATTATTCCAAGTTGGCATATTGTCAACAAAAAAGCAGAATTCCATTTGGAAAAACCATCCATTAATTTTTCACGAGAGTGTGCAAGTTATCACTAGGTTGACTCTTATTCTTTAAAAATTAGTGTCGTTGCAATGGTTTTAAGGATTTTCCATCAATAACATTCTCACACGTGATTCTGGGTTACTTTAGAATTAAACCAGATTTAAAAAAAAAAAGAAACATAGATTTACATGTTATGAATTGTTGAAGATTTTTTTTTTTTGGTTAAAACATAAATTGTTGAAGATATATAGATTGAATATAATGACTGAAAAATGTCTATCCTAAATTTTTTTTAAAAAATGAGATTGTGAAAGTTATAAACCTTTTTTATGCAAATATCCTAAAAATTGGTTGAGTGCATTATTAAAACCAGTATGGCAAATGAGGCTTTTTATATTGACACTCATGTATTTTGCTTAAATTATAGAGCCTTAACTTTTAATAGTCACTTCAATTCTCCTAGTTGGCAATTAATGGGAGAAAAAAAGAAGGAAAAAAATATATATATTCCCACTCCAAAGTCCGAAAATTATGGAAAAAACCTACCTTTTTTTTTGTTTTTTATATAGAAAAACCTACCCTAATCTTGACAAGGTTATGTTATATATATGGATGCCATAAAAGTCTACAATTTTTTCGTTGAGTAGTTGAGTTAATATTGATTTTTTCATGACCTACCCAAATTTATTTAACCCTTGAAAAGTAGATATTAGCTCTCTTTTGGCACCAACCATATTTATGGGTCCTCTGGCCAAAAGATTTTAGCACCACCGTATATCCGTATTTCTGTGTTTTGTGTGTCCTAATTTTTTTTTTTTTTTTTTTTTTTGTCCTAATTTTTTTTTTTTTTTGTCCTAATTTTTTTTTTTTTTTGTGAGAATGAACCGAATGATATTATTTGGAAATTGAATAGGTGATGATGCCTATAATCAAGAGTGACAAGGTCACCCACATTTGTCCTCTCCTTTATGTGTGCTCTAGCTCAGAGCATGGTTTTACGGTTGGAGATGATTTAGGATTCAATCCTATCCGAAACTCCCAATAAGATACCATTAGTAGTGGTGACATAACAACGAATGACGATCTATCATACTCTCTTATTTTGTATTCAATAATTGATTTCTAATGTCCTTAGTGAGGTTCAAATTATCAGTCTGACGATTATGATTTAGGCTGAGGTGACATTGATTTTTGGGTTTTGCTCGTTATGGAATTGGTATAAAAGTTGTATTCTTCATAACGCAATTTGTATACAACTTAGACTTCCTATTTAACGGGTTATGCTTGCAACCTATTTGATTAAATGCTTCAAATTATAGATATGCGCATTTTTGCAACTTTCTATCAAATAGTGAATCATCTTATTCCAAGCTCTTTTTAATTTAAACATGAAGAATCTTTTCTTGCTCCTTTGGTTTGAACTTTTACTCAAGATTTTAAGGGCAGTTTGTTCCTTTATATTACATGAAACAATTAGGTATCAATATAAGCAAGTATTCAGACTCTAACGTAATTCTATCTGATTTCACATTATTAAATTTATCTGTAGAATAAGTTTTTTTAACCAATTCATATGAAGTGGTTGTTGAACTAGCTTGGTTTGAAAATAAAATCGTCTACCTCATTCAATGTGCAAAACAATCTCACGTTTAAATGAGACATGCTACAGTTTTAATATAAAAATATTTTTAATGCAACTCGCACGCTCTTACTAGTAAGTCTTTCTTTGTGAGAGTTTTAATAGTAATTTGAAAAAAAATTTAAAGCGAACTATACAATAACCTTTCACTCGACGATCTTGGGTGGGTCGATTATAGAAAAAAAAAAAAATGAAGGAAATGATAGCTATTTTGTCGAAGTAGTTATAAGATATGTTTCAAATTTTGGGTTTCCAATTTCCTTGAAGAATCTCAGTTTATTCCTAGATTCATTTAACATTATTTTTCTATCCTAAGGTTTTGGGATGGTTGCATCTTCTTTAAGAATTTGAACTATGGCTTAGTTTAGTATTACTATAGATTTTGAAAAAAAATTACTTTTAGCTGCGCTGAAAAAAAATAACTGTTATAAAAAGCAGTTAAGTGTTTGGTAAACTATAATTATAATAGCTGTACTGATTCCAAAATCAGTGTAATAGCGTTTGGTAAATTATAAGGTTAAATTGATGTGAAAAGTTAAAAATTACGACTATATTATATTATATTATAATATAATATATATAATTACAATATAATATTCAAATTTAATATTTTTACTCGAATGTTTTCTCTCACATAAATTCACTTTTTAACTCAAATTCTCGACTTGAACTCGTAAAAACATTATAACCATGTTAATGTAACCATTAGCCATGACAGTACAACATTGAAAAGTATAATACTTTCCAATATTACGAACGAAAGAAAAAGTTTTTACTTCTATTATATATGAAGAGAGGACTTTCTTCAGTATGCCAATATACTGGTAAGTTAAGTTTTCTGTCTATCAGATCTGCATAAAGTCACGTAAAAATAAAAAAAAACACGTGTGAACGGTGAAAATTCATCAATAAAATAATAACGTATTTCTTAACGGTTAACATCAAAAGAATTAGACGTCTTTGAAGCTCCACTGTTGGTTTACTGTTTTCCTTCATTATAATATTATTATAAAATAATAATTATAATATCATATTATAATTATAATTATAATATCATATTATTAAAATAATTGTAATATTATTATAATATCATACTATATGATAAAATAATAATATTAGAGTTATTAATATAATTATGATATTATTTGTTATAATATTACTATTATATTATATGATATTATATTACGACTCTGAATTTTAAATTAGAAACATTGTAAATTTTAAATTTTATTAGGGGTATTATGAGTATTATGAAAGGTTTATAAATTGTATTATGTTGATTTCCGCGCAATTTAAAATTTAAAGTTGTCTTTTAGCTACTTCTAATTTTGGCTATAGATTCAAAAATTATTCAAAAAACACTTTTGAAGAGATTTACTAAACACTAAAATAGCTTTTACTACAAGCAGAAGCTGATTTTAGAAGCGAAAAAGCAATACTAAACTAAACCTAATATTGGGGTCTAAATCACCAGTATATGGAGTATTATGCATTGAGGACGATCTAACTATAAATAAGTTTTCTTCTTTTATAATGAGTTTGGAGTGTTATCAGCATATGTATTTATTTTATTATCTTCTTTTTAAAGAGCTAAGTTATGCCACTTGTTGAGGAAAGCTAATAAAATTACTCATTTTTTTGACTAGTAGTGTGTGGAACGATCAAATAGACAATAATCAATCTAAACTACAAAGGGGATCACTAAATATAAAGTTTTAGCAATTGATTATTACTTGAACAAATTTAGTTCAAAGGCATCTAAAGAAAAGTGATAGTCTTTTAATTTTTTGCCTTCCCGTGCACTTTAATGGTTTTTTATCCACAAATTAACATAAGATACTTTTTCAGTTTAGGGTTCATGTGGGGAACAAAATTTAGGAAAATAGTAAAAAAATAGGCCAATATGAAAAGCTTAAGAAATTATATAGGCCAATTTTTAGTTATAGAAATTAATAGATCATAACTTGTTAAGTTATGGTTCATAACTAGATAAGTTATAGACAAACTTGTCAAGTTATGGTTCATTACTAGACAAGTTATGGACAATTATGGACAATAACTTGTCAAGTTATGGTTCATAATCAGACAAGTTATGGACGAAAAGAGTAATTTGGCATATTTATTAACTTATATAAACTATTGGCATATTAATTTTAATTCATTTTAAGTCTTGGTCTATTTCCTTCTTTCTCCCTAAAATTTTTTACAAAGACTAATTCTAAAAAGATAAAAGAAATCCACTCAAAAATTTATTTCAAAAAGTAAAATCTTTCAGGACCCAAGTTAGAGCCGTAAATATTATGAACTAAGAGAAATGGGCTGACATGCCCGTTTCTTAATTAGGGCTTCAATAATAGGCATCTTATATAATTATTTCAATAAAAAATAAAGAATACATATAAAGGATAGCCCGTGTATAGCTTATCGGGCTATAGGGTAGGCACAACGAGGGTTAAACAACAACAACATTAGAGTTGTAACTCGAATTATTTTTTTGAGTTTTTGACTCAAAAACTCAATTGCTGAACAACTCCTTAATTTGTTAGCATCGTTAGTTTCCATTTTGAGAATTTGGACACTTAGGGCCCGTTTGTTTGCGTTTTCGTTTTTCACGGTTTTCAAAGCAAAAAAATGAAAACGGGTGTTAAAAACGTGTTTGGTGCAATTTTTTTTAAAAAACAAAACCAAAAATGTTTTTGTCTTTTTGTGGGAATCAGAAAACGAAAAAAATGTGTTTTCATTTTCTTGTTTTCGTTTTCTGTTTTCTGAAAAACAGATTTCACTTTTTTTTTTCTTTTTCATTTTCTTCCCTCTTTTCTGAAACCGTTTTTGTATTATATATGTTTATTTAATATATTATTATTTAATATTATTATTTAATATATTTAATAATATTATTTATATAATATATTTAATAATATTATTTATTTAATATATTTAATATATTATTTATTTAATATATTTAATAATATTATTTATTTAATATATTATTACATGTTTTCAAAAATTAAACCACCAAACGCAGTTTCAGTTTTTTTTAAAACTGAAATCAATCTCTAAATAAAACTACCAAATGCATTTTTAGAAATAATTCAAAAATGAAACTAAAAACGTTTTCATTTTCATTTTCGTACAGAAAATAAAAACGTTTTGGAACCAATTCCAAACGCACCCTTAGGTCCCAAAACTCTATCTATTGACACATTACATCTCTATTTTAAGAATTTAGATATTTAGGTCCCCTAACTCTTAATTTGTTCGCATTGTTAGTCCACGTCTCCTTTTTGTTGTTAAATGTCACAAGAGATGTCAATATTTTAAGGTTTTTTTTAGTGTCCTATGTCCATAATATATAGTTAATTATGGCAATTAATGTCAAAACTATAGATCATAAACGAAAAAAAAAAACAAAAAATTTATAAATATCATTGCGGAAATTGATAATCCATTCCATCATTATTTTCTGTAAGTTGGTTTTAAATTACGACAATGTAACTAAATAAGAGTAGCTCAACAATTATTTATCTAATTACGTACAGTCCCATTACATACTTTTTATTATCTTTAATGATACTAAAGATCTTTAAGAAAGAAAAGTATGTACTTGGACAACTAATTGTTGCATTACTATTGTTTAGTTACATCGTTGTAATTTTAAAACAACTTACCCCAAATATAATGGAATGGATGACCAATTTTCTCAAAGACATTTATAATTTTTTTTCCCATTTACAATCTCATTAATTACCACAATTAACTTTATGTTGGGGTATTAAGTTTTGATAGCATTTTTGGACAAAAAAAAAACAAAAAACAAAACATGTTATACTTAAGAAAAGGGAGAGCTTTTGGGGACATTTTTGTCAAAAGAATATATTTTTAGGGACTTATGGCACAAAAAATCTCAAAATATTGATACGTCTCATGCATTTAATAGCAAAATGAAGACGGTTATTAAATTTGCCAACATATTAAGGGACTGTTTGGAAGATGGATTCAAATCAAGTAGTTTGAATTAGAATTTAAATTTTGTAAGTGAAAATATTGCAGCATAACTTTTAAATTCAACACTTTTTAAAATAAAAATAACACTATTTGAATTTAAACCAGGGTAGTTTGAACCCATTCTCTAAACATGCTCTAAGAGTTTTAGGATCTGAGTATCCAAATTCTTAAAATAGAATTTAAACAGTGCCAATAAATTAAGGGCCTGTTCGGTTCACTAATTCGAGTTTTTAATTTGAGTTGAGATGTGATGTTGTGTAAGAGCTTTTACTGTAGCAAAAAAGTTAGATGTAACTGTTACTGAGAGCTTTTTACTGTAGCAAAACTTGAATTCTAAACTCGAATCAGCAAAAACAACGGGGGAGTTTGGGAAATTAAATTTCTAAATTTGAGTGTGAAAAGTTACAAAGTTTGAAGACTCATGACACAAAAATCCCAAAAAGGTCTCAAAATATTAATATGTCTTATGAACTTAATAGCAAAATGAATATGGGGACTAAAGGTGCCAACAAAATAATAGTTTAGAGACATGAGTGTTTAAATTCTCAAAAATAGGGACTAATTGTGCTAACAAATTACAAGTTTGAAAAAGCTTTGTTCTTTTCACGATTTGACTCACAACTTAAAATTTTTTTTACAATATTTTCTCTTACAAAAATTTAAATTTAACATTTTTATTATAGTATTTTTCTCACATAAATTCACTTTTCAACTCAAATTTTCAAGTCGTTTGCAAAAAGAATGAGCCTTAATTCTTAAACTAGGGATTTAAGTGCCAAATGTTACAAAGTTTAGGGACTTACGTCGCAAAAATTCCTTTTAACAAAACTCACCTTATTAACATCACTAAGATGCCATTTGTTTCATGAGTTTAAAACATGATTATATTTTTTTTTTCAAAATTTTTTTAAAAAAAAATTCTTGCCAAAGGTTCTCTCACAACATTTGAATTTATAATTAAAATCACTAATTGCCGCTTTGGTATATTCAAATGAGAGTTTAAACTAGTGATTTTAATTATGACTTTTGAAATTTAATTTTTTTTTAGAGAAAATACTATAACAAAATCAAATTTATGAATTTAAACCCATGAAAACCTGTATATTAATGCCTCGTTCATTTCGCCGATTCAAGTTTTTAATTATAGTTTTATTACAATTAAAAAATCTCACAAAAATTCAAATATAACTTTTTCTGCTATAGTTAAAAGCTCTAATTAAAGTTACATCTTAGCTCGAACTGAAAACTCAAATGAGCAAACTGAATGAGGCCTAAAGATACCATGATCTAGGCCCCGATCATTTCACCGATTCGAGTTTAAAATTTGAGTTTTATTATGATAAAAAGTTCTAAAAAACAGTCATATCTAAATTTTTTATTATAATAAAAAGCTTTCACATAAAGTCACATCTCAACTCAAATTAAAAACTCGAATTAACGCACTAAACGAAGCTTTAAACGTGTGAACTTAACCAAACGGGACAAAATTAACCCACGTTCGAGTCCCAACTGGACTCAGAAGGAAATTTTTACAAAGTGGCTTCTAGTTTCATTTCATGTTACGTTTGGTTAAGGGGGCGTTTGATATGTAGTAATCAATAGGAATCAAATACCTGAGAAAGTGATGGTGGGTAATATGATTCCCTGAAAAATTTACATTATCATATTTGGTTATGCGTAGAAATCTTTTATTAGATTCTTAGGAATGTTATTTTACGGTATTTGGTTGTGCATAATAATACAATATAATTTTTTCTTATAAATTAATTTTAAATTGTTTTAAACTAATTAAATTTTATTTAATTGAGTGATTATAATTTTCACACCTTAGGGTGGTCTGAGCAGGACGCCGAATGTCACCGGACCTCTAGTGAGTGGTTGGCCTGCTAAGTGACTGGGCAAAATATGATTAGTGGAAGAATATGTTTAGTTGATGGATTCAGAATTATGATTCAGAACTATTCTCAATTTATGTGTATTTTTTGTGAAAAAAAATACTGTAACGAGTCACGAATTATGATTCAAATCATGACATAAATCCTTTAACCAAACACACTTTTAAGAATTTAAATAACATTTTATTGAGTGTTATTCATATTACTCAATTTTTAAGGTAAAATGAATCCTATAGAATTCACTAGAATTCACTTTCTTAGGAACGTAAAAATGACAATTCTTGTAAATAGTAATCTATAGATTCCGATTCTTACCTTTAAGATTAATGTATACGAAACGTCCCTAAAGCTTTACCGGTATCGTCCATGATTCCCACTTCAGCTTCTCTTTTCCGCTTCAAAATTAGGGTTTTCAAGACCACAAAGGTGCGATTTCTATCTCATCTTCAATTTTCAAGTTTTTTTGTGTCTTCCTCTCGTTATCCATCATATTCCAGTGATTTGATCTTTTCCGCGTTGTTTTTCTCTTGGTGTTTTTCTTCTTTAAGGTTTGAAGTTCTGTTTCAATGGAAAATGACAATGAAATTGTATGTGAAGAAATGGTTTTCTCTTTGGTTTCTGTTAAATGTTGATTTAGGCATTCAAGAACACTATAAGATTTTTTAAGGCCATGTTTGAGGCACTTGATTCTTGGGGAGATTTGACTATGTCAACTAATTTCCCAATGGCCTATTCTATGTTTTGCTACGATAGTATTCATAAATCATATTACTGAAGAACAATAAAGATTCTTGCTTTTCGATCAGAAACACAACAACAAGTAGAAATTTTTCTAAACAATGACAACCAAGCACTTTTTTTTTTTTGGTCAGAACGATAGGACAAACTCATCGTCCTCTTTCTCTCTCTATAACCTAAAAGCAAATCTTCTCCTTCATTCGCTGCTCTCGTCTAAGAATCTGGTAAAATTATCCTCTTTAATCTCGGAACAATACTTTCCGTTTACGCCCTTGGCCAGGCACAAATGAAATCGGAGGAATTGGGAGTAGAGTTCTGCTCAGTTTCAAATAAACCCCGAGGAAGTAACGCCACCTTCGATTGCTCTCATTCTGGTCCCTGCGTTCCTTGCCTCTATTCGGAAAAGGTCTCTCTCTCTCTCTGATTTTATTGAAACTTTCGATATGTTTGTTTGTGAAATCTAACAAATTGTGTCCCTTTTAAGTGTATTACGTAACCTTAATTGAAAACACCCACATTCTTCCATATTTGAATCATTTGTAACCGTTTTCTTATAACCGTTGTGGTGGTTTATCTGTCGTCGAATCAATTTTGTCTCTGTTCTGGTTTTGCCTATGGAAAATATTCTACTTTACCTTTCATTCGACGAGTTCAACGAACCTCCCATCTTGAAAGTAGTTGTGTTCAACTCTTGTTTGGTACTGAGTGATATCTATGATCTCCCTTAATTGGAAGTGATTCTGTACAGTTCTGACGTAGCATTGCCTTTAATCATTAACTGTATCCTCTCAATTTGAGTCTCATCTCATGGATTTACAAGGATTTTTATTATTATTATTATCATCGCTTGTTCATATTTTGCTTTATTTTAAGAATTTGTTTTGACATTCAGAAGTTTGTTTATGTAAATTTGTTTTTTCTTTGAGTAATTCAATTAGAGTATGGTACTACTTTGTATAATTTGATTGTTTTAGTACAATGTATTATTTATCATCTCGTTACTTTAGAAAGTAGTAAACTTCTACAATTTCTTTTATGTTGTCCTGACTAAAATCTCTATACTAGATTGGTTGGAGCTTCTTTGTAATCCATATGTATTTCCACTATATGCCATTTTTTTCATGGAATATCTTTGAGTTTATCCTTGTTTATCTTAGGTGTTTCTTTAGTTCGTTTCTGCACTTGTTGCATTATGCGAAGGTTTTATGCTTGTTCCTTTACCTGATTGATTGTTTTTCCTATTGACTCAAATTCTGCTATACATGTTGATGTTTAACTGTATATAATAATCTACGTCATTGTCTCGTATCATAGTTATACTTTACTCTAATGATTTTCTCTATCTGTTTTGTTACAATTGATATTTTTCTCGTACTTCACAATTTTCTTTAGTCAGTGTAATATTCTTTCCTCTTGAGTTTCACTGGTCTCTTCATGTAAGAGTTTAAATAGTCTCCCTTATGGGTGTTTCAATAGTTCTTTTCTTAAAGTTTTACTCACATTATCTAGTTATTATGATGACAACTTCTTATGATTATATTTAGTTATTATTATTAAATAACATAGAAGTTAATGATTTAGATCTACATGCTACATTATTTAAGTTTCCTTATAAGTCACTCTTTCTCATCTTTATAATTCTTTAAAAAAAACTTCCCTTTTGAAGGATTTTGTCTCTTCCATTATGTATCTATTGTTTTAGAAGACCCTTGTTGAATGTAGTACTTGCTAACTGCTGTACAATTACCCTTAAGAAGTAAAAAAGGGTGGGGTAGGATTCTGGGCAGGAAAGGTAATGATACCAAAATTAAAACTGGGAAGCAGGGATACCAAGTCAGGATATAGCTTTAATTGCTTTATTAATGTGTAACTCCTGAAGAGAAATTTTATGGGCTAGATCTTCATATATGGTTAGAGAGAGAAGCTCTACCTGCTCTCTAGAATTCTAGGGGTCATTCGTACATTTCCAATTAGTAATCAGCCAAAATGGCATCTTCTTTCAACCGATTTTATTAGGAATATAGAATTGGTTCTAAATCATTTCGTTTAGCTTTGGGCAATGATGGTAGTTTCATTAGGATTGAGGAAGCCATACAAAATCAAAAGTTTTTCATCAATATTTCCCTTGATGCAGCCATGGTTTTAAAAAGCGTCAGAGGCGCACGCCTTGAGGCACGCCTCGTGGCGAGGCGCTGGAAAAGTGCCTCAACTCCTACACCTTATAGGGTAGGTGTTGAGGCGTGCGCCTCAGCCACTTGAGGCGCACGCCTTTGAGCGGCGCCTCAGGTGGTTAGTGAGGCGCCCACCTCTCTGCAAAGGGTCTTTTGGTGGGTTATTTTAACATGTTGGCCCAAAAGTTTTAAAAAGCCCAAAGTACCCAGGCCCTTAATGACTAAGAAAAAACCCTAATAACAAAAGAAGCAGCCAGCCACTTGCACAACCGTCTCTCCTCCTCCTTCCTCGCACGGGCAAATACTCTTCTTTTCTTAGTAGTGATGATGGTTGATGAGTTAGGAGATTAGGCTTTTAGAAGTGCATTATGAACCTTATGATATTAGGATTTGATAATTATTTAGTCTTTTTTACGCTTCTAGTAGTGAAATAGACTTCTCTTTATGTGGATGTTTGGTTAAATTTCTTGTTTTTAATGATTATTAAGTATGGATTTAGTTTTTGTTAGTATTATTATTTTTTCCTAATTTTTTTATAGGCATTTTTTGAGGCTTACGCCTCAAAGTGCCTTGAGGCTTACGCCTTGCCTCGTAAAGGCAAAATGCCTCGAGGCCCGATTCTGCCTTTTAAAACCTTGGATGCAGCAGCCTAGTTCAGTGACACGCTGGACTTGGTCTGTAGCTGTGAAGCTAAAAAGGGATATGCCTGCAAATTCTCTAACTCAAGCTTCAGTCGATTGGTGGAAACGTTTAGCAATATGAGAGGAGTATATTTGAAGCTCTCAAGGGTGCATGGAGGTATGGTAAGGAGTACTATTTTTATAGAAGAGGGAGATAGGAAGGGGTGTAAGATCACGAAGATAAGACTGGATATGTTTCATGGCAGGAAAGGAAGGTTACAAATTTTCTGAGAATGTAAGGAGTATGATAGTGTCCGTGAAGGAGTGGAACAAAGAGTTGTTTGGAGATGTGAGGCTGATCAAGAGTGAATTATCAGCTAAGATTGATTTGTTAGATAGAAGAGAGGAGGGCAAGGGGCTAAATGAAGAAAGAAGCGAGAGGAAAGTTTTGAGGAATTCGCTTGAGGAGGTGATTTTTAAGGAATTGATTATGTGGAGACAAAAAATGAGACGTAGGTGGGTGAAAGATGGGGATGCTAATTCCAAGTTGTTTCACAATTTAGTGAACAACTGGAGGAATAAAAGCTTGATTTCTAGGCTGGAAAAAGAGAATGGAGAGGTCGTACAAAATATTGAGGATGTGTTGAAAGAGCTGATTGAATATTATGAGAAATTATAAGTAGGAATCAACAATGCAGTGGTCGTTTGAGGGCTTAGAGTGGCACCCAATCCAAGTAGAGAGGGTTGATTGGTTGGAAAGACCTTTTGACGAGAAGGAGATTCATGAGGCGGTTTTTTCATCTGTGATTTATAAGTCACCGGGCCCAGACGGTTTCTCAATGGGTTTTTTATCAAACATGTTGGGATGTGATTAAAGGTGATTTGTTAAAAAGTGTTGGAGGAAGTTTTCAATAATGGAGAAGTGAATCGAAATACAAACCACACTTTTATCTGTCTCATTCCAAAAAAGGACTCTTGGAAAGTTAAGGATTTTAGGCCAATAAGTCTAGTCTGAAGCCTATTGCTAAGGTGTTGGCCAATCGATTGATGGAAGTGTTGGGGGATACAATTTCCAAGAGTCAAAGTGCTTTAATAAAGGGTAGACAGATTTTGGATAGTGTCTTGGTGGCTAATGAGGTTCTTGAATAATATAGAGTGGAGGGTATAGAAGGGTTGGTGTTCAAGATTGATTTTGAGAATGCCTATGATCATGTAAATTGGAATTTTTTAAGGTAAGTTTTGGAGAAGGGTTTTGGTCAGAGATGGATTAAAAGGATCATGGGGTGTATTATAGTTCGGCAAACTTTTCCATTTTGGTCAATGGTAAATCGAGATGGTAAACCGAGAAGGATTGGTGTTCAAGATTGATTTTGAGAATGCCTATAGAAGAGTAACATAGTTAGAAGAGCTTAAGAGAGAGAAGCTCCTTGTTAGGATCCCGAAAATCTATGCTTCATTAACAATACTAAAAATGGAAAATTACAAGATGGGCGGTTTGGAGGACCCTTGACCTCCAAAATAGTGCACAGCACTAGACACTCTCTACAAATCTGATCTTCATTAACAATACTAAAAATGAAAAATTACAAGATAGATGAGCGGTTTCGAGGATCCCCGACCTCCAAAATAGTGCACAGCACTAGATACTCGCTACAAATCTGATTTCCCCCTCCCTAGCAACTTAACCCCCCATTTATACTCTCCTTAAGACTATTGAAAAAGACTTCTAAATATTAGGTTTCTAACATTACCCGCGCCCCAAAGAATCACCTTGTCCTCAAGGTGAAAATCAAGAAATACAATTGAAAAATAACATCTAAATGATTAAGAACAAAAGGCTTTGTTAGTTCCTTGATTGGAGTCCCCAAATTGATGTTGTCCTCATTAGTCACGTTTTCAAATTGGAGCCAATCAATTACTTTCTTCTCCATCTTCTTTGTATTTTGGAAAGCAACCACAACATCTATCAATTCATTTGAAACTCTCTGCGCAAGCTCATCAATGGTCACAAAAAATATTGACAAATCAATCCTCACTAAGGGAGTTTCCTTCTTAGCCAACTAGGACATCAACCTTTCAACTTCACTCTCACCAATTTCTTCATACTCAGCTGCAATCGTACCATTCCCAGCCCCAAACGTGTTAAAGTTTTGAGGCCTGACTGCCCGAGCACCAGAATTAGGCCAACTAATATTGTAATTACGAGGCTCAACCCCAAAATTGGCTCTGCCCATACCGAAAACACTAGACCCAGCCCACTTCTAAACAGAATTTCAGAATTCAGCCCCAAAATCGCCGGATTTCGCATCGGAATTCCACGTCTTGGCCATCATCTCGCCGGAGCTAGCCCCAATGGCGTCAAAATCACAAAACCCAGCATTAAGGGCGTCGGAATTCATGGGTCCACTCCAATTCTGCCAGAATCTGCCTCCGTGGCACCGGAACCAGCCCCTTTCACGCCGGAATTGCGAAGCCCAGTCCAAACCGGGCCGGAATCAGCCCCAACCTCGCCGGAAACACCCTCAACAGTGTTAGAATCATGAGACCCGCTCCAAATTTGGTTGGAATTTTCGAAAACAACACCAATCTCACCAGGATCAGCCTTAATCGAGTCG